TATTGAAGTTTGCGGTACCACTACTTCTTTAACAGGTTAATCCGTTTTATCTTGGGAGGAATTAATCTGCAACCTCGGGTACAGTGAGGGAATTAAATTTCTTAAGAAAACACAGTGGTTTCTGTTGACTCGGATTAAAAATCATTCTGTCTATTTCATCTTTTTCTATATTTTTGACTAACCTGAATACAGGAGATAACAATCTTAAGAAATTTAAAGTTTCTGTATTTGAGGCTGTCAATAGTGAGATTGAATCAATCTTAAGCAATCATACTTGAGAGTTGGTTGATCTTCCTCCAGGGAACAAACCCTTGGGTTCAAAATGGATCTTCAAAAAGAAGATGAAAGATGATGGAACTATTGATAAATATAAAGCAAGACTTGTAGTCAAAGGCTTTAGACAGAAAGAAGGTCTTGATTATTTTGACACACATCAATTCGGATGTTAATTGCCCTAGTTGCAGTATACGGTCTTGAAATTCATCAAATGGATGTGAAAACTGCCTTCTTAAATGGAGAGCTGGAAGAAGAGATTTACATGGAACAGCCTGAGGGCTTCATAGTTCCCGGTAAAGAAAAGAAAGTATGCAAACTTGTTAAATTATTTTATGGACTAAAACAAGCACCGAAACAATGGCATGCAAAGTTTGATCAAACCATGTCGTCAAATGGATTTAAGATCAATGAGTGTGATAAATGTGTTTACATTAAAGACACTCCGAATCAGGAAGTCATTGTATGCCTATATGTGGATGACATGCTGATAATGAGCAAGAACATTGCCAATATAAAAACTACTAAGCGTATGCTTGCTAGTAAGTTTGATATGAAAGATCTAGGAGTACCCGATTTGATATTCGGAATAAAGATTCACAAAACTCCTAACGGTCTAGCATTGTCTCAATCTCATTATATTCAAAAGGTACTTGAAAAGTTCAAGTATTTGAATTTCAAAAAGGCAAAGACCCCAATTGATGTGAACCTTAATCTTGCTAAGAATAAAGGTGAAATTCAGTCTCAATTGGATTATGCCAGAGTATTGGGAAGTTTGATGAATGTCATGAATTGTACACGACCAGACATAGCCTGTGTTATAAGTAAACTGAGTCGATACACAAGTAATCCCAATCAAAATCATTGGTTGGCAATGAAGAAAGTTTTGGGGTACTTAGAAGACACTCAAAACTATGCTTTGCATTACAACAAATATCCAACAGTTCTTGAAGGATATAGTGATACAAATTGGATTACTGGGTCAACTGAAACGACATCCACGAGTGGATATGTTTTCACCATTAATGGAGGAGCAATATCTTGGAAATCATCCAAATAAACATGTATAGCTTGCTTTACAATGAAGTCTGAATTCATCGCCTTAGACAAGGCAAGTGAAGAAGCTGAATGGCTCCGGAATTTCTTAGAAGATATTTCATTTTGGCCCAAACCAATGGCCCCTATATGCATACCCTGCGATAGTCAAGCTGCAATAGGAAGGGCTGGAAACGTTATGTATAACAAGAAGTCTCGTCACATAAGACGAAGACATAACTCTGTTAGACAACTACTCTCTAGTGGAATTATCACAATTGACTATGTAAAGTCAAAGGAAAATGTGTCGGATACACTTATAAAAGGCCTAACTAGAGAGGGAGTTAAGAGATCATCGACGGGAATGGGGTTATGACCAAGAACAAGTCATCGTGGTGGTAACTCTACCTAGAAGACTGGAGATCCCAAGATCTAGGTTCAAGGAGATAAAACAAAGTCATAGATGACGACTCAACATTGTCAAAAATTATTTATGTCCATTCTCATGATGAGACAATGTTTAGTAACCAGGATAAAGGCATAAAGACTTTTTAATGGTTTCTAAGTTTGATACAGGGTATATCAAATAGTGTATCTACGGGATAACACATTTAGAAACCACTATGTAAGTGTGAAGTGTAAGCCGCTTCAAGGAGAATTCGGTAAGGCCAGTTCTCTAAGCACTTATTAACCGAGATGTGTTCATGGATGAAACGAACAAAACAATGAGAACCAAAAACAATTCAAGGGTTGATTGTGTGATTTATGTTGTCTAGGTATACACCAAAGCTCGACGATTCAAAGATATCAAATCTACCGATTGACCGAGTATATCCGATATATGTTCACTACGGAAAGTTTAAAGGGAAACCTACTTATCCAGATGCGATTAACCCTTACTTACAAGACACACAAGTTTTTCATGCATATGTTTTAACTATAGCCATTCCCCATTCATGTGGGGGATTGTTGGGTTTAACAAGGTGTGAATGAGAAATAAAAAGAGAAAATGGAAAGTGGAAGAACCAATGAAAGTGGGGGAACCAATTTTGGAGGGAAAATGAAAAGTCATTTTTACCATATTGGTAGAAGAAAGGAAATTGTTGTCTTTATATTAGGAAACATTTCCTTTAGTTTTTAAAGGGTTAAGAAGAAGGTGCCCCCTCGCGCTGTCGTTGTTGCTCGCTCGGCTTCGGCTTCGGCAAATGATGTGATGATTGATTGATAATATTTTTTGGACAAAATTTATTTAATCAATCTTGTTAATTCATTTCTTTTCTCTTATAAATTAATTCAGAATGTTAGTTAAATAACAGAATTAATTTCGCAACGAATTATTTGAAATTCACGCGTAACGGTAAATTCGTTTGAAAGGATTTGTTCCTTCCAAAAAGTCGTTACTTTTCCCAAAAGACACAACGTTTGGAAAGAACAGGTCTGGACAGATTTGTCTGAACAGACGCGTTCCTTGCTGCTAATGGCTATAAATAAGAGGTCGTTTTCGTTTTTCAAACACTGGAATTTTTTTTCTCTCTGCATACATTGTCTTACATAAACAAAATTGTCAATCGACTGAGTCTGTGTGTGCTCTTGTTACTGTTCTTGCGTTCGCTGAAGTTATTGAAGTTTGAGGTACCGCTACTTCTTTAACAGGTTAATCCGTTTTATCTTGGGAGGAATTAATCTGCAACCTCGGGTACAGTGAAGGGAATAAATTTCTTAAGGAAACACAGTGATTTCTATGGACTCGAATTAAAAATCATTCTGTCTATTTTATCTTTTTCTGTATTTTTGACTAACCTGAATACATGAGATAACATTATAATCTCTTATATTATTAATACCACATAAGTTTATAGGTATAAGTTATACATAACATACTTAAAAAATAAAACCATAGTATATTAAAAATACACGTGTTAATCGCTTCACTGTTAATGGCTTCTACGAAATGAAAAAAAAGCATCTCCCTTCCATACGTATGTACTTTATTTTCCTTTACGGCAACCACCAACAGACAAATTTGCTTTCGTTTCAAAGTTTCAAAGGCGTTTTGCATCATCACTAACCGCCAACACCTTGTTTTGGATGGTTGGTTTTTGTGACCTATTGTGAAATTCATGATTCCGTAACGATGAAATTTTTTCATTGTCTTCTTTCAAATACTCATTACGTACTGAGATGAAATTATGGGCAACTCTCCAATTGAGCTATACTTTATACAGTGATGGAAGTAAGATTTTTTTTCAGAAATTCGAAATATAAAAAAATAAATATGTGAAATTACAAAATAAAAAAATCTCTCACTTTCACATAGATCCGCCCTCGACTCTATATATATATAGGTTCATATGTATAAAAAAGTAATAACACCTACATTTAAAAAGAACAACGTTGTGGAAAAGGTTTAAAACATTTGATAAAAATAATGAAATTTCACGTAAAATTAGATACAAAAAATAAAATAAAATAAAATAATACTAGCATTCATTAAATTTTGCATGTTCAGCCTGAACCATACCTTAGGACCAAAAATTTAAAGGTGACATAATTATTAAGCAGTATTATTACAAGCAGAACCCAACTTCCTTCTTTAGTATTTTATTTATATTATAATGTATTTTATCCTACGAATTTCAAAAAGGTTTATTCCAAAATTAATTTATCTCTAGCAATGTCATTAGCGAGAAGCATTAATTAAAAATTTTCTTTACTAATTTGTAATTAATTTTTATTGAAAGTGTTCACATTTGTTTGTAACATTTTTTGAAAGTTTTTTAAGATGAATTAGTAAATTATTTTCTTATTTATAATTTTTAATCATCATACAAAATAAAAAAGAATCAACTAATATAAAATGGAGAGAATAATTTTTTCTTGTAAATCTTGTTGAGTGTACATGTTCTCACAAATTTTATTAATATGGACTAGAGGAAGCATGCTTTATTTTAACAAATCAGAAAACATTTTATTACTTTTTTTCCATACTATTTTTAGTACTAATTAAATAACTATAGAAAATAACAGTAGTTAAATTTTAAAATATTACTAATAAAATTATTTATTTAGTAAAATAACATTTTTAATTAATTAAAGCCTTTCATATGGTAGTTCAAATTAATAGAGATCAAGCAAATATGAAACGGATGAAAAAGTAATTACTTTTATGTGTGTAATTTCTGAAAATTGACATTATTGTTGTCGGTTGCACCAACTACAAGACCAATTGTAGTACTATTATTTTATGCAAACAAAGTTACTCCATTTACCTAACCATTTTCTCGTTTGATAATTACCTACAAAAAAAAATAAAACTATTTTTTATAAATAAAATGATATTTATATTAATAAAATCAATAGTAGGAGTAGTATTAATGTCTTTGGTATGACTCAGTTGATTTAGAAAGTGATTATCCACGTAAATAATACGGAATCAATCAATCCTCTTTAATACCTACTGAGTAGATTCAAAAACTTACCTAGAACTTGTACACAAGTGCTCACCACCCGAATCATTTTATAACCGTAATTAAAAAGTAGTAAGGATACCCATTAATGTAATTTCACTCGAAATGGCCACGTCACTAGTTAAGAACCCTATCCACTACACCTCTCTCACACACACTAAAAACACACACACAGAGTTTTGAGTTTAGTATGTAAGAGAGTCGAAAAAGTCTTTATCCTAAAGTTTCCGAATCAACGCTTCTGACATTCTTCAAACTCTTCTTCTTATTCTTTCCCTTTTTTTTTTCTCTCATTTCAAACAAATACATACAAGTACAAGAAAAAAAAAATTACTCGCCGGTCGTCCGGCGACTTCTCCGATCAATTTCTCGGTGACTGTACAAAAAGTTATATATTCATTCAGTTTCTGGAGAGTTTTGTTACGGTGTTGAACTCGTGTATATAGAAATGGATTTGATAGAAGGTGTAGGGGAGAGTTCGTCACCGCCGAGGAGTTTTGGGAGCTGTGCAGTGTATGATATTAAAAACGATGTGTATAACCGTCTTGTAGAGACTGGAAATGCTGAGGCGGTTACTAATCCGGAGCTGCTTCGTGAACAGTTGGATTCTCACTTTGCTCGCTTGCCTGCTAGGTTGAATCTTCTACATAATTAATAGTTTCCTTTACTTTGTTCAGTCAATGTGCGATTTCTTAAGTTGAATTTTGTGCTCAATTCCATTTTTATTGGAAAAATATTTCATCGCCTTAGATTATGAGCTGAGAATTAGAATTTCTTTTCTTCCGAGAAGTGTATTTTTTTTTTTCATTTGCAGTAGTTTCTGTATCTTTCTCTATTTTTTGGGCCAGAATGGGGATTGTGGGGTGATTCAACAGACCATTATAATTAGGTTTTGTCAAGTGTGAATAATTGGGCTATTTAGGATAATTGATTAAAGAAGTCAATGGAATTAGCTCTATTTTTTTTCTACAAAAGCTAAATGCTGGTGGTGATTTATTAAAGTTAACTTGATCAGGAAAGTCAGATTATAGCAAATGTTTAAACTAGCCCTAAGGTTTTGGTTTCAATGTCTAAAGTAGTCAACACTTACGATTTTTCATTCGGCTGGGGAACCAAGTATGATATTTAACAGTATCTTTGATGCTTCAGTTATGGGTTGGATATTAATGTGGATAAAGCGGAAGATGTGTTGTTGCATCAGAAGATTCTTGTTAGAGCAAAAGAACCCGATAACCGGCCTGTTTATCATGTCCGATTTTTAGAGGTATTAACTCCATTCATCACATAACTGCAAGTTCATTATCACTTCAATGCTATCTGAATTGCTGGTGGATCCTGTGCTGTTTAAGTATATACACTAACTTTCCTTCATGCTCTAGTTACTTTGGTAGCTTTAAAATGCCCACATTTATCATTGTTGGTTTCTTTTTTGCATGCAGCAGTGGATCTCTCTTTTATTGATTTGATTGCTTTATGTGATGTTTCGGATGGTGAATTATTGTTGATACTCCACCATCTGATTTAAGTAACTGTTATTTGATATTCCTATGAACCCTTTAGATCAATTTCTTTGTAAGTATCCCCCAAGATCATTTTTCTTATTGATTTGTTCATTTCATTTGATAGTTTTGTAAAATCATTGTTTTTTTTTTGGCTGGATTCTTTATTATTTAGTTATCAACCATTATATTTTCATCTCCATTTTATGGGTTTAGTGGTTTCAACAACTCTTTGGTCTGCTTTCTTCACCAATTAAAGGAGACATTCCTTTACTGCTGAAATCTTTCCTTTAGTACTGCACTATATAGTTGATTTCATCCAATATAAGTCATTGTTCATATGCCATCTGAATTAGGTATCTATTAGTGAAATAATCTGACAAGATTGTAGTTATGTCATAGTGGATGTGTATCGCAGGCGGATTCTTGCCCTTTGTAGATTAAATTGTGTTTCATTGAATTGATTATTTCTATCTTGCAAACTTTATACTCTTAATAGGAGTGATAAGTTTCCTCTAGAGATTGGTTTCTTGTTCTATGTAATCACTATTGATTATAACCTGATGCTCGTTTTTCATTTTTTGTTTCTTGACAGAATTATTGGACTAGATTCGATGATGCAGAGGATCAGGATGACTTCAATGATTTTCCGATTTCAAAGGCAGGTGGCAGCTTAAATGATGAAGGGATAAGGTGACTTTTATTAGTTCGACAACTTTTACCTGGTAACTTTTTTTGACTAGGAACTTAGTTTTACCTAATGGTTAGACTAATATGCTTTAGTTTGCTTTCATCTGCCTATGCGCTGCTGCCTTACTAAATACAGGAAGGGTATGAATGACTTTGAAACTTGCTCTAAGCTTGAGGACCTGAATTTGGATGTTAGAAAGAATTTTAATGACAAAGAAGAAATTCTAGCGGAAGATTCTAGCCGAAGGTAGTTTTGGTGCAAACTTTTGTGATAATTTCTCCTCTATATTGGTCTTCTTTCTTTTTTATTTTTTATATTAAAATTTACTTCTTAAAGTATCAAAGCATCTAGAAAACCGGAGTATAATGCAATATTACTAAAAAATTTTCTGAATATGGAAGTTTCTCTGAAAATTTTAGGTCTAATATTTGTTTAACTTGAACTATGGTATTTATAGTATTTCCAATTACTACATGTAAGCTAGAACAAGTTTTCATTTATTGAATACTTCTGCATCCAAAATTATGTGAATGAGAAATTGCAGTCAAAGGATTGAGAAATAATTAAGAAAATCACGGTCAAAGGATTGCGAAATAATTGAGACAATTGGAGCAAAAGAAATATGAATGTGATATTCAAAAAATGAATTACGCTACAACGAGAGAGAATTACTCCCTCTGGTGTGAAAGATCAAAGGTAAACCAAGCATTTAAAAGTTGAAGCAAGTTTGTAATTCCAAAATCACTTGTAGAATCTTATTGTTAGTCAAAACCTCTTTGCTGATTAAGCATGCAAGTAAACCATATACTTTTGTTGCCCACAATTTTCATCTCCTGTTTGGTTAAAAACTTGCCTGGAAACTAGATTCATCAGCATGATAGTTCAGGTTTCCACCATTCTGCTATCCATTTTCATCTAACTGGTAATTTGTTCAACTCATTTATCATGATCATGAAGTTATCTCTATTTGTGGGATGGAATATTTAAGCCATAGAAAGCAGATTGCAAGTATCCTGCAATATATTCAGTAGTTGACCACCATTAGTTGTAGTGCAGGCATGAAGTTTCACGTATTCTAGTCCATGAAGTTATCTTTTCCACCATTGACAAACCCAAGCTTCTTAGTCAGGTAACTATAAGAGGGTACATATGCTTAGAATACTTAATTGAAGCTCTGCTTAGTTTATTGCTTGCTCTTTGATTTTTTTTTGTGTGTATTCTATCTGTGTGTGCTGTAAGTGGAATACTGAAGGGAGAGATCACTTATAGAAGGCTTTGTAGCATGTTCATTCTATTAACCAACTACTATTGATAGCTGATAGACCTGTGTAAGAAATTACCAAAGCAAGTCGAGTTACATAAAATTCTATAAGACATTTTTGCTAGATTCTCCTCTTGTTTTAAATTTCATCCATTATATGTATATCCATAGCTATGGCTTGTGTTGCGACAAACCTTTGCGCTTTCTCCTTCACCAATTAAGGAAACAAAGCTTCATGTTTGGAAATATAATTAAGTAAAGGAAGTGTGTCCTCTCTAATATTTTAAGATTTCGGATGAGATAATCACATACTTCAAGATGGTATCAGAGTTAGGGTCCTCATGTCATGTTATCCATGTTTATGCTAACTAGGTCTTGGTGTGCGGAGTGCTAGGGTGGTTAGATTGTCCCACATTGGTTGAGGAATAGGCTGTTGTTTTCTTATGTTGTCTTGGACAATCCTCACCTCATGAGCTAACTTTGTGTTTGAGTTAGGCCACACAGTTCAGCACTTCACCGCTGAATCTTTCATTAATATCATTAAATTTGTAATTTGATTTTAAAATATATTCACAGATGTTCAATCATGCCTGCTTTCTGTTTTTTTGGGTAAAATATTACAGAACTCTTCCAAAAATTCATCTTGTATTTGTTTTTCATATTTTTATCTTCATGCTAAAAGTCTTCTTTGAATGCCTATATCCTGGCGGTTTTGCATAATGTTATGTTGAGATCGATGGTTATAATTCTTTTCCTTGGAATTGTATTCATTTGGTTATAATTCTTTTTCCTTGATTAATGTGATGTCATGTTCTTTAACTGACTGCTTCCTATTCTAGCTCTCTGCTTTACTTTCTGACATAGGGCTTAATATCCGAGAAGCTCATGTTTTCTCAACAACTGATGGGTACTCATTAGATGTATTTGTGGTGGATGGATGGCCTGTTGAGGTATGCTTTGTGTTGCTCACCATTTTTAGTTGGTTTGATGTACATATTCTAACATCTTGTTTCATATCAGTGTTTCTACATTACCACTTTCTTTTGTGTGAGTTCTCTGGTGGGTCTTCTTAATTTAATAGATTTCAGTTTCGGGGTTTAAAGAACGAATGATTTAGGGATTATATGATTGTGCTCTTAATTTGGTCTCTCAATTTACTATTTCTATCCTTAAAAGATTTGTAAGTATGCTGAATAATGTCTTGGTGTTTTGGTTAATTATCATGAGATACAAGCAAAACCTTTCTTTTCAATAAAATAAAATATATATCTACATGCACATGAGGAAAACCTTCTATTTAGTCAACATAGGGTAGTGTAAACCTCAGTGGAAGTGAGCATTGTGATTATATTTCTTGCATGGCAGGTGTCTGTGCTGTGTGCAAAAGTTGCTGACTTTGCCATGTTATGGTCAGGATACAAAGGCTTTGCATGAAGAATTGGGGAAAGCGATTGCCAGAAGTGAGGTGATTCTTTATTGATTTCTTCTTGTTGTGATATTATTCCTTTTGACTCTTACAGATTCCGCTGTGGAGTTCCATTGAATAATCAGTTTCAGGGTTGCTTGCAACGTCCTCTAAAAATAATAATCATTTGAACTTATCAAAAATAGAAAGAATAATAATCATTTTAGAACATAACTATAACAATAACAACATACCCGGTGAAATCCCACAAGTGAGGTCTGAGGAGGGTAGAGTTTATGCAACCTTACCACTTCCTTGTGGAAATAGAGACTCCTTCTGAAAGATACTTGCTCAAGTGCAACAAATCCAAGAGCAAAGAAGAAGAAAACGTATCAACTATTAAGGCAAGCAGTGCAAAGCCTACAAGAAAGGAACAAGAACAATAAAATGGTGCGATAATCAAAATACAATAAACAACATAATACGATAAATATCAAAAGCAAGAACTATAAGAATACAACTAGTACAACAACAAACATCAATAATCCTAAACCTTCGAAAAGCTAGGCAATGATCCATTATTTACTGGCCTTCTACCCTAATACGCATCCTCCACGCCCTCCTATCTAAGGTAGTGGCGGATCTAGAATTTTCATTGAGGGAGTTCAAAAGATTCGAATAATAAAAATATAATTCTTGGGATTTGAACTTTGACCCAACCTCTAATTTTGTGTTCAAGGGATTCAAAACTTATATATGTACATAAACAATTTAAAAAGTACCTTATATATACGGGTAATTTTTTGCCGAGGCGGTTTGGGTGAACCCCCTCACTACTCTCTAGATCCACCCCCGATCTATGGTCATGTCCTCGGTAATTTGAAGTTATGTCATATCATGTCTAATCACCTCTCTCCAATACTTCTTCGGCATACTCTACCTCTCCTCGTACCTACTATATCCAACCTCTACAACATAATTGCTCTTGATAAATGCAAATTAAGAATTTTGGGGGTTAATGTTTTAGACGTTTCTTCTATTATCTCGACAAGTTCCATACCTCAAGGCCGTGCTGGGACCATTATAATCTTGTCTATAATATTCTTTTTAGATAATCTAAGAGAAAGACTAGAGATACCCACATTAATGCAATACTAAAGCTTGTGGGAAGAGTCTTACCTCTTGTGTGGTTTTCAAGGTATGCTGCTAATTCTGTAAAAGGAATTTTTGTATGCCGCCCCCCACGAAAGGAAAAAAGAAACGGACAAAAAGGAAAAGGGTAAATTTCAGTTCCACTGATATCTAATATAACTTTTCTTTTTTTTAAAAAATAAAATCAATTCCACTGATGTAACCTTTTCCTACTTAGGGTGGCATAGGGTAAACTATGAGTAACTACTTTTGAAAAGGAAAATATTTTTGGAAAGGGGGTAGGCCATAAGTAACTAGATATACTTCCTATATAGTATCATATTTATGTGGATGATATAGCTGCTATATTCTTGATATTTCCAGTTGGCCATCATCAATCAATTTACTTCTAGCTGATATGTGATGTGTACTGTTTATCATAACCAATTTTTGTTCATCAAAAAAAGATATGTGATGGGTATCATTAGTAGAATCTCTGCAGGATTTGTTTCGTTGTTGTTATTGAAGCTCATTAAGTGTCATGTAATTTGCTTAACAAGTTGTAATGATCATATATGCTGGATGACACAGGGAACGTGGTCTGGTTCATCTCATTCTAGGTCAGCTGCTGAAAAAGTTATAGTCGCACGATTAAAACCTGAGGACTGGGAAATTGATAGAAGATTACTGAAGATTGGAGAAAGAATTGCATCAGGATCTTGTGGCGATTTGTGAGTTTATGATTGTATTCCTCAAGTGGTTTTGCATAAATTCGGGTTCCCAGCTTTCCATGACCTTGTCTTCTAAATGTTTACTCATATGAAGGTATCGTGGGATGTATCTTGGTATGGATGTAGCAATCAAGGTTCTTAGATCTGAGCATTTGAATGACACATTGGAAGATGAGTTCGCTCAAGAAATAGCAATTTTGAAGTGAGTGATGTAGCTCTTATGTCTTACGAAGCTTATTAGTTTAGGGGATGAGACGGAAGGTACTGGGTTGCTTCATACTTCTCATGTGTATTGTGTTGCCTACTAGAGGGATTATATTAACTTGTAGGACGAAGTCGAATTTGATTCCAGGATGAAGACTTGTTTGGTAAGAGATCAAGGGTACCGGAGTACTTATTGCTTGTAAATCATGAAAAAGGTTCCAAAGATTTATATGTTAGATACAGGAACCTCTTTATGTGTAGATGCTGGTACTATGCGATCTTGTAAACACTGAGTTAGATAACATGCTTTGTTCTGTCATATGAATTTCATGATGACAAAAGAAAGATAGTGAATTAGAGTGTGCATCAATTACTTAAGAAGTTCTCTTTTGACAGGCATATTATTAAGTAATTTGTTATGATTGGCAATATTATGTGCTGTTATATTTTGTGAATGGCATATTATTTATTAGTATATATATAGAACAACTTCAATGCAGCTTTACATGTGTTTGTAGTCTATCTACCAAAAGAAAAGCAGGCACATATACCATGCTCATTAATGTGGTTCACCTCTAAGATCTTCTCCACAATCTTACAATTTGATCTTATTGCATACAGGCAAGTTCAGCACAGAAATGTTGTTCGTTTCATTGGTGCATGCACAAATTCGCCTCATTTGTGTATTATTACAGGTATGCTTCTTTCCGAGACAAAAGTTGCATGGTTTCTTCGAAACTGTTATCATAGTCATGTCATGGCTGTTTGGCTGTCTTTATCTATAAAATCGAAGTTGCAGATTCTCCACTGTCTGGTAGTAAACTGAAGAGTGGTGTTTGGTTGTTCAATGCTGCAATTTTTCCTGTACTCTATTATTTCATTTGATTGCACCATCTAGTTATTGTTGTTACGTGTACATTATGTCCGGATAGTACCCTTCGGGGTGGCCCAGTGGTTTGGGCTTGGGACTTCCATGTTGGAGGTCTCAAGTTTGAAACCCCTTCCAGCGAAAGCAAGGGGTTTGCCTTCTGGGTCGAGCTCGTCGCACCAGGCTTGCCTAGTGCGGGTTACCTCTCCTATGTGGTTTGCGAGCTATTGCATAGGAGCGGGGGTTTTACCCTATTGCCACCCAAAGGGTAGCGGCTGCGGGTTTCCCTTGTCATAAAAAAAATAAAAATTCTCCCAAATAGTACGGAATATATAGAGGATTCATATCACCACCCAGCTGGCATGGTTAATTGATTGATCGATGGACTGATTGCTTTTGAATGTTTTTGCATACTAGAGAATGTGGTCCTGTGCATGCATTTCTTGTCACCTCTTTTAAGTTTTAAGCTATCAATGCAAGGTAGTCTGCTCATAATGCTCATATTCTGAAACATTCACCCTCTGTTAATGCTGGTTGTTTGTGTAGAATTCATGCCTGGTGGGAGCTTGTATGAATACCTGCATAAAAACCATGTTGTATTAAAGCTCTCGCAATTGCTAAGCTTTGCAATTGATGTCTGCAAAGGAATGGAGTACTTGCATCAAAATTATATCATTCACAGGGATCTGAAGGCAGCAAATTTACTTATGGATTCAAACAATGTAAGTTTCTCAAACAATGAAGTAATTCCATCCTTAGTCTTGTTATAACTTGGCTGCATGAGCACTGATCCTTTTTCCTTTGGTCACAAACCAATCTTTATCCGTGATTCTTCAACATTTTTTTCCTACTTTTTGAAGAACTGCTATGTTCAGTGCTTACTCTATTGAACTGGAGGTTTGCTATAACTGGTACTATGCCATAATGGGATTGTGGTTGAATTAAAACAGCTGGAAAAGGAATGTCCTATTTTATTTTATTTTTAGATTTTTTTCGTGACAATGAATTCATAATGTTATGATTGAGGGAAGAACGGGATTCTCGATCACTGTAAAAATGAAAGCTTTTGAATTACTATGGATCTTCACACCTAACATGTTTACCTGGGATTAATTCGTGTACTGATTTGTTTCTCCTCTTTTTTAGTGCTCATCATTTGAATGTGCACCTGTTCTTTTTGCTTTAGTTTTGCATTATCTACACCATGCTTATTTTGATTGACTTTATAATCTGCGATAAGGTTGTTAAAGTGGCAGATTTTGGTGTTGCTCGTTTCCAAAATAATGGAGGTGTCATGACAGCTGAGACTGGAACATATAGATGGATGGCCCCTGAGGTCCGACTATCTTCTTTTCTAAATCCGTCAATTACTTGATTCAGGAGAATAATTCAGTTATATATACTAGTGATTTTGTTGTGGATGGAGCCCACTTGAGTTCGGACAGTCAAATATAAAGACTTGCTAGCTTGTTGTGCTGCTGGAATCTCTTTGCAGCTACTTTGGTTGAAAATAAATGATTCATAAACGCTTAATTTGATAATACAAATCTGAGATCCCTCTTGTTTTCTGAATTTCATTGATTCTCACTTGTATATTGAATGTTAATATTTCTATGACTGTATTAGTTAAGTAACTTACCATTCCTATCTGCTTATATTTGTTGCATAGCATAACATAATATGTATAACAATTAAAAAATGACATTGTTATACAAGGGTGCTTGAGACACTTGGGAAGTCTTCTCATTGGTATTGATGCTCCTTTGTCATGCCGCTGTTAGGACTTATCGCCATGCTCAAAAATATGTATAGTGTTTCCTCAAAGTTAGGGGGACACCTTCAGAAAACCATTTTTAAATATTTTTTGTTTAGAAACTAAGGGGGTCGGTGTGGGGCTCTTCTCGTTCTAAGTTGTATTTTTCTAAAGCTGCTTATAGCAAAATTTCAATGATTGGTTATTCAGAGTTTTATAACAAATGGCTTTCACAGATGTGGCATTAGTTATTACTACAGCAGTGTGCAAGATCTTGGTCATGGTTCCATGCTTTCTATGATAGAGGAGTAGCTTATGTACTTCCTTTGTTTCCTCCACCCTGTTTGATGATAATTTATTGGCACCAAGGGCTGCGTTTACCACGCGCATAACTATCTTGTGCAGCTGCAAACTTGGTCTATTAAACTTTTCTTTTCCTTTTAGATCATCAACCATCAGCCCTACGACCAGAAAGCGGATGTGTTTAGTTTTGCCATTGTTCTTTGGGAGCTTTTAACAGCAAAGGTATTGACCTGTCATGAAAAAGGTCACATGATCGTATTAGAAGTTGAGTTTGTTGTCCTCCTTTGATTTTGTATACTTTTTGATGCTACAGGTTCCATATGATACCATGACTCCACTACAAGCTGCACTAGGAGTGAGACAGGTCTGTACCTCAAACTTCTATTAGCACGTGGAGCATGCCGTGAATCATATTTTCCTTTTAAGCAAGCTAGTTTATGTTGTTTTAGGCATCTAAGCCTTCACATTTTAGGAGTGCATATTTGTGCTGTAAAACTTGCATGGATGTGAAGTTTCTGTAGCACTATATGGTTGGTTAATGCTAGCTAGCCTCATCACATGCTACCTGTGTTTTACAACCCTTGAACACAAGTGAGATCCCTTTTATCTAAATGATAGATGCTTCCATCTTGTGTAAAGATCTCAGTCCTTCTAATATGCATAGTTGGAATTAGATGATGTGCATGAGCTAACACAGTGCATGCAATATCTATATTATGTGCATAATTGCTTATAAATCCACGACATAAATGGACATTACTTTAGGAAAGAAGGAATACTTGTGTGTCCCATGCCATCTGTTATATTTCATCCTTACTTGCCTCTTTTTTTACCCTATTTATGTTATGTCTCCCTAGGGCCTCCGACCTGAGCTTCCAGAAAATGCACACCCGAGGCTGTTAGACTTGATGCAGAGATGTTGGGTGGACATCCCTAGTGATAGACCCAGTTTCTCTGAGATAAAAGTTGAGCTTGAACTACTCTTACATGAAATTGAGGTAAAAAATTGTCTCAGCGCGTAATATTTTGATTCAATGTCCCTTAATTAAAATCCTGTAACAGTTTCTATGATGGTGTGTCTCACAGGATACCATAGAGGCATCAAAAGGGAGCTGAGTGATGCGCACTTGCATATATTGGACTAACGACACTTCTTACCAGTAACAATAGAAGATTTTCTTTTACTTACGCCATATACACGGACCTTAACTTTTTTGGTGAGATATCTATGCCACAAGCATAAGGTAGAGTCCGCTGCTTTTGGCCATTTTGGAGTTGAGAGTAAAGGTGATTCATTTTGTGATAACACGTTATGCATCACTAAGTACCTCTAACATCCTTTTTGTAAAATCTTTCTACCTATTTTTCCCATTTGAGAAGTTTGGTCGTGTACTAGCATTTTCTGTTTTACGAGTTGGTTCAGATCAAAATAATTAATTACTATAATATTTCCTAACATAATTTAATTTTATTAATTTTATTTTTTGGGCATGTTGGTGGGGTTGGGGAGATAATGATGAGTTGCCTCATTAACTGCTGTTTCCCTCGATCCCTCTTTTGTACAGCACCAATATAACCGCTATTTACCTCTATCCCCTCATTCTTACAGCATCAGTTAAACCGTTGTCTTCTTTTATTAACTGTGTACATACATGAGGTAAACTAGTTCATTCTAATCCACCTTTTCAAAATATGGACAACCAAAACACTTGCTGCACTACTACTACTACAAATTTTCTTCAACCCCTTGTTCTACAAAGTCAAGTAATTGGTGATTATCATCTTCTGGATCAAAGCCATCATCATGAAGACAAAGAGGCGGAAACGTCGAGAAGATTCACCATGTTTGACACAGATATCAGGTACAAACCTCGTCAAAATCCCAGGAAGAAAAGAAGCAAGTTGTTAAGAATTAGTGATAATAATTCCCTTAGAATCAGTACAAGTACTGCTAGTACTTCCGGTCTCATTACTACTAAGCCTAAATGTACCAAGAAACCACCAGACCCTAATGCACCAAAAATTACTAGGCCTTGTACTGAATGTGGCAAGAAATTTTGGTCATGGAAAGCACTTTTTGGTCATATGCGTTGTCATCCTGAACGCCAATGGCGCGGTATTAACCCTCCTCCCAATTTAAAACGACAAGTTTGTTCTTCATTTCCCCAACAATCCCACATTTCCCTTTCAACATCAGAGGAGGATCATGAAATCGCGGAGTGCTTATTGCTCTTGGCTAATGGACTCAATGATGACGTTCATCAATTGGTTATGGATGAAGGAGTTGAAGAAAAAGGTGTAAATGAATCAGGGACACCTTCATATAACTGTTGTAAATTTGAGTGTTCAAGTTGCAAGAAAGTATTTGGTTCACACCAGGCATTAGGTGGACATAGGGCTACTCACAAGAATGTCAGGGGTTGTTTTGCAAATACAAAAACTATTGGGGACTGTAGCCAGCAATTAGGATTGTTAGAAGATGGGACTAATATGTGCTCCTTAGAACAAGGAAGAGGAAGTGACAATGAAGATATTACAAGCAATGATAACAAAAGATTGATGGTGTTGGGGCATAAGTGTTTGAAAGTTTTCTCAAGTGGACAAGCTTTAGGAGGTCACAAAAGGTGTCATTGGGAAAAACTCGGAGACAAGACAACAACAATAGTAACAGACTCGGACTTAACACGAGCTGTCGTTGCCAATGTCAATCCAATGGAGCAAGAAAATAATATTGCTGATAATTTGGATCTTAATTTTCCTCCTGTTACAATTTCAAGAGATGATCAACATCATTCTTCAGCTACCCTTTCATCTATTTCAGGATTGGAATTGGACTTGAGATTAGGGCTATAATGTATAGTAGGAATATGTAATAATGATATTAGTGTTTCATCTATTGCCTAGAATATAGGCTCAAGTTTCAATGATATTTATGTTGTATCATCATATATAGTTTTATGACTCCAAAAATAGGAGTTCAGCTTTTTAGTTGTGATTTGTGCTCCTTAATGTCACAAACAATATATGTTATTATTAGTATATATGTAGTAATAATATCGTGTGTGAAATAGCAGCATTGTTTACATTTAATGAATTGTTAAAGTACGACGTAGTTTATTCAAATGTTGGGTTTATTTTGATTTGTTTAGGCATTATGTAACGATTTAGAAAAAGGTATTTAGGAGATGAAATCCCAATTACATAATTGCATGCCAAAATTTAATTTGTCAGGGATATGAAAATTGATGTTGTTGATTTGTTTAAGTACATTAACATTGGGGAATTGGAAAAAAGAAACCATTAAATTTGCTCAATCAAATAATGGATACTAACTATGATTTGGATAAGGATGGATTGTCTTTTGAACGTCGGGGCCAACTCAGCATCAACCGCTTCGTGCCATAGGAACCGACTGTGAATTGTGATCACACGCTAGGCGCAAATTTAAAGGTGCGAGTTGTAAGGAGTCTTGGTGTTGAGTTTGAACTGTACCAAACCTACCACTTCCTAACCTCGATAGAAAGGGCCTTGTCGACCAGCACTTGCTGACAACGGAACATGGTTCTGTTGAAGACCTAACACCCCCTTTAGCGCAAGTTTTATTACTTTTCTTTCATTCTGTCGCAAAAGGAAAATGATATCGAATGATTGATTCACCTTTGAGCTGACCCTCTTCTTCCCTTTCATGTTGGGTTGAACCAGAAGTAAAACAGATGGAGTTCTCGGACGGGGAAAATCCCTCACTCCCCATTTTTCAATGATTAAGCCTTGCGGCGACCCTTCATTATGAACAAAAAAGTGGAATGAAATCCCCTCATCCATCCTAGTTAGTGTGTACCGAGATTATACAAAGATAGAACAACATCAAAACAAGGGAGACAACTCCTTTCTAGATCTTTCTTTTCTAATTGAAAGTAGCAAGTTACTCTATTATTGATACAAAGGACAGATAAAAGGTTGCTCATCCAGTCTAGATGATCCATGAACTTGTATTACAAGTGATGGGTAAATTTGCCTTAGAACATAGTGATATGAAATCTCTATCCTATCAATTTCAATTTCAGGCATGATTATTTGAAAAATTATTATTATGTGTCGTGATTTGCTTTTTGAAAATTATTTTTGAAATGTTCCAAGTATAAAACAACTAAGAAAATATTTAAAAATTTCTTAATTTTTAAGAAATTAAAAAAAAGAATTTAAAAAGTCTCTAATAGATAAACCTTTTTAAAATTTAAAGAAAATGTCATATTTCAATTTGAGAAAGTGTGACCATTCAAAGTATCCGCTAACATACGATTATCCATTGGTTTAGCTAAAAATATTGACTAACTTTTGAGAAAAGTTACGTAAAAGTAAATAAGAGTTTTTGAATCATTTGAAAGAGGAAAAATTAACTTAAACAATTGAAAATAAGATAAACTTAGCCAAAATGACAGATTAAGTGAACAAGCATTTGAACAAAATCAAGTAAATCAACATAAAACAAATTTTGGTTCATGGAATTTCAAATTTTAGTAGAAACATAAATACTCGATAATTTGTATTGATAAGTATTTGATGGAAATTAAAATATTAACTTTTGACAAATTTAAATTAGTTCATACTTAAGAGATTATTTTGGACCTATCCTTAAATGCAAAACTGCTTTTAAAAATCATTTTCTCAAAAATTTCCCCATTATTCCACTCCACTCGAAGAAAAAAATATATAAATAGAAATAGACACGAAAATGACGTCTTATGTCTAGAACAGATTCAAAATAACTCTTTAGATATATCTTCTTTAATTTTGATATTTTAAATTTATCAAAAGTGAGTATTTACTATCTTCCTCAAATATTCATTTAACAGAAACTATATATCTTATTTTTAATAAATGAAAACTCATATTTAGAGGTGTAAATTTTGCTATTTCTCACTTGTAATATCTGTTATTTTTAAAAATCTATTTATGATGTTTGATGTAATTTTTAATGTTATAGTTTTTGGGATTTGACTCAACTTTCCAAATGTTTAGTTGGTTGACTGTACATTCTTTCCACAATTTATATTTATTAAATATTTGATGGAAACCTAATATTTTCATATTTATAAATTTAAAGGATCAAAACTTTGTATGAATGTATTTAAGAGACTATTATATATATCTACCTCCTAAAATTAGTCCTAAATAAAATAATGAATCATTTTTGTCATTTTTTTCAATTCAATTAATGGAGTTGATGAACTTGTCCATTTTTCTACAAGCATATAAGATGGTCAACATCTAATTACACATTCCCTCTTATTGTCAATCATGATCTTATATTCTACATGCTTATTTCAATGTGTCCCCACTTTAATTTGAATGATAATTCTACGCTAATTAAATGACAAGTAAAATAAAATTTTGGATTTAATTTTGTATTTAATAGTCTTTTAATTAGGCATTCTTCTTGGAATTATTATACATGGGAATATAATAAGTTAGCTGCCTTTCATGTTTGACTCTTTTAATTTGTGTTTCAACTTAGAAATTGAGAGGAAGATGCACTTCATACTATTTTATTTATGTTTAGTTAAACAATATATACACTCTAGAGATAAAAAAATCCGGAATAGTGAATTAACCTAATAAGTTATCGATCCAACTGGTTGAACTAAAAATAGTCAGAAAATATATAATTCATATATAATGTGTATAATCATATATAATCTATGTATAGCGGTTAAAAAAATAAATAGTAAATTTATTAGACTATTTGTAGGAAGAACCCATTCATATGCTTGTTGATATCGTAGGTTGAATTACTTTTTCTTTTTATGAAAATGAGCCTGTTAATTTTGAATAAGTAAAACCTAAAATTAGAATGAGAAAATGATGAAACAAAAAGGCAAATATATAAGATAAAACTTACTCACCTTATTTCGTATTTTTTTTTTTGTTTTAAAAAGGAGTGTTTTAATATAAGGAAAACTTACAAAAATCTCATATATTTGGAGGTAATTATATCTTATCCCCAATTATAAAAATCTTAAATTTTTCATTACTCTTGGATATATTCCTTGGCAGGACCCATCCTGTGTCAAAGGGTGTCGACTGACACTGCTTCATTGAAAATTTTTAGTATTATATATATAAAAAAATCTGAAAAAATAAAAACATCCCTATAAATAACATTAATGACACTGCGTGAATAACTGAGTTTCTTCGCTCGTGGTTTGTAACGCGAATGGAATGGTCATTTGCCTCGGTAAGGCCGAATTTATCTTTTATTTTTTGGGACATTTTCAGAGAAAAGTTTAATATTATAAGGATTCAAACATTCAACCTTCTATTTATAGTCAAATTAGGCTAAAATAAGCCAATTATTTATAGTCAAATTAGGCTAAAATAAACCAATTGCACTAGAATATTTAGTACTATCTCTAATGAAGCTATTATGAATACATTTAAAATTATGAAAACTTGCCGAGGAAAGTTTAGTAGTTTACTTGACTTACGTTTTATTAGTATGTTTTAAATAGTTTTTATTAATATAATGTTATTATATCAACTATTTATTGTTTATTAATTTTTAAATATTTACACCGCTTACAAAAAATCATGTGTACGCCGTTGTTCCTTGGTTGTGCGATACATTAGAAATGATACATTACTTAATCGGAGGGATGTTTCAAGAGGGAAAAAGGATGTATCCGAGAGAAGAGGGATGTATCCGAGAGGGAATAGAGATGTATTCGAGAGAGGAGGGATGTATCCGAAAGGGGATAGAGCTATATCCGAAAGAGGTTTAATATAATTTTTTTAAATGATAAATTTTTTTAGAGATTATGATATCTTATTTATGTAATTTTTCGTTAATAATTGAATTTGAAAGTCAATTTCTCCTTAGTAAACTATTAAAGAGGTGTGGTGCCCCGACCCGGCGGCTTGACCATATTTTAGCCATATATGTTTATGGGTACGAAAAAGTTGGTAAAACTCATTGATGACCATTTTAATTTCTCATGAATAGTTCTTTCATTAAATAATTAAATTAATTATGGCCCCTCCATTGTCTTTTCTATTCCATACTTCTCATATTACTAGATTTATTGGTAATTTTTTGGTGTTAATTTTATATATATATTTTTTCATATTTTTGTTTTTTTTATTAATTTCTTACTATTTTTTTTCAGAATTTTTCGAAAAAAATAATAAAATTATTCACTTTTTTTACTCACCTTTTAGAAATATATAATTAAGAAAAATATTTTTACTAATTTACTTTTTAAGTTTTTAATACATTTTATTAATGTGTATCCATCAATACCAAGATTAATAATGGAGGAATTTATTTGAAACTTTACAATATTTATACATTTAAATAGAATTAGTTTTACACCTTGTTCGGATGATTGTTACCCGTTGTATTGTGTTGCATTATCAGTTTAAATACAATGTCTATTTTAATTGTTATTTAAATTCTATTGTATCGTATTATTTAAATTCATCGTTAGGTAACAACGAAAAGACCTATTTTATGTAACGACTGATTTGGTGTAATCGTGTCGTTACCTTTATATTTTCTTCTCCTTTTTATCTTTATTTATTATTTAATAATCATATTTCATCTTTTATTCTACTTTTTCATAGTAGTGCTACTTTGTATCCTGCTTTTCTTGTCGGTTTGTCATTCAAATTATGTATGTGACATTATATAACAACGGAGAATGATACAATCCATCCAAACATTGCATTCATTAAACAATACAGTATGATACAATACAATACACTATGAAACAATACATAACAACTATCCAAACAAAGTTTTAAGATAACTTTTGAATTAATTCTTATCTTAATTTTGTATTGACAAGTAATTTGGTACATATATTTTTGTAAGGTACTAGACATGCAATATGGGACCAAGTAGCACTATATATGATTGAATCTGTCAAAAAAATAATTCAAATTACTAAGTAACACATAGAGATAAAGAATTTGTGAACCCTAGATGATTTATAAGAATTGAGAATTTTGAAGGAAATTAATTGATTGATAATAATTTAGTTATGCATCACTTCAGCTATTAATTAATTAAGGACATTGGCGCGGCTTAAACACGTAGACCAAAGCCAAAATTGAACAGAAGCCTTTGATTATTAAAAACAAGAAGAAAATTTTAGAAATACATAACAAACATAATAAGATATAATAAGGTTCTATAGGAATAATTTTGATAATTGCACTTTATAGTCATAGTTTCATTTGCTATGGAGGCTACCGTCTGTATATTCTTGCCCGTTTGTATATTTTGTTTGCGAATATACAAATAGGGTGAATATATTTTTTTCCTAATAATTCTTATTCAATTTATAATCACTAATTAGTTACATCTTTTTTGACGCATAATATTCTAAATGTGTCAAAACTTCAGCGAATAATTTTATATTTTTTCTGTTATACGCAAAGTTTACATTTTCTTAAAATAGTACTCAAGGATTATTTTTTTCTAAAAAATCTATTATTGCTAAAAATAAAATTGGGGCCCGCAAAATTTGGGGCCTAAGGCACTCGTCTTTTTCTAAATCATTAGAGCCGCCCCTAATCAAGGAGTACTAATATATAGTTATGTCTCACTTCAGCTATTAATTAAGGAGTAATATAATGTTTTTATATAATTCTTTTTAAGCATAATCCGAATAACTCCAAGACTAAAAAATATTTTTTATTGATTGATTATGGTTCTGGACTGCTTTTCTTAGCGTGACAACAGAACAATTCCAAAACTATTCAAACTTCAAAAAAATTTACAAATTTGATGAGTAGTACTCTTTTCTTTCAATTTGTTTGACTTGATTCAGAGGATTAGACTAAATAATAGTTGATGTGAATTTAATTATAGAATTTATAACGTTTAAAATAAATTTATATATTTAAAAACATTATATTTTTAATTATAGAATTTATAACTTTTAAAATAAATCTATATATTTAAAAACATTATATTTAAAGAAAATATTTTCTGACTATTCAACTAATAATCAAGATAAATAAATTGAAACCGTGGAGTAATAATTTTGGACTTACAAAAAAGACTAAAAAGCAGAATTTATAAGGTTTTTCTGTTGGGTTGGGCCACATTCTTTTCCCATGGTCCATTTTAAAGGTGAATAACTTCTTACAAATTTTCTTTGTGAAGAAAAAGAAAAAGATAATGATAATAGAAAATTCGAGAGACATTGAAAACTTCCTTATATTGTTTGGAATGTGAAAGCCAGAAAGAAAATATATTTTGAAAAATATTTTGTTGAACTTTGTTTTGGGATAATAACACTTCTGGTCCTTTAATTATTAGTAAAATTAATTTGCAAGTTAAATTATTGATGTTCGTGATGTTGATGAAAAATTCTTTGATTTAAATAGGTTTTGTGATCTTTTAAAAAGATTAGTTCAGGCAAAAAAAAGGTTCAAATTATCTTCTTATATTTCGCTTAATGAAAATTGTTTTGCTTCTATTAATTGTCACTGTATTCATTGAAATAGCTTTTAATTTTCGACAATTAAATTATCAAGAATGACTCACACTGTCAAAAGAGTAATGATTTTTTTAGCGATTGTATGTTGTCTTATCTAGAAAAAAATGTATGTGATAAAAATTTTATGATGCTATTATTAAGATCATATAGTTATGTTTTCAATAATAAAAATGTGTTTTGACATTCATATAAAGATATTAAAGAAAATGTTGAAATCCTCCTCCTTTTTCTTTTATCTCATTCTCAAAGATAAAGTTTTAATTGACGCAATCCTCTCTGGAACACACTCTCTTTTGTTTGGAGGAGGGGACGACATTAATAAATAAATTTCGATTTGTGTACTTTTTATTGTATTGGTCTTTTTACTCCTCATAAGTGAAATTGAAAAGAAGTTGAACCAAGACACAATTGTTTGCCAGCTAGCAAATTTAGAATGATATGAAAATTTATCTCGTAGCCTAATATAATAAATATCAAGATAAAATATCTCACGATCCATATATCTCTTTTAAAATCATTAAGCCCACAAGCATCCAACCAAGGCGCTACTTCAATTTTCTTTAATAATTTTCTAAAGTTTCATTTTTTTTCTTCGATATGTTCAGACAATCCAAACAACATATCAAGTAATAATATTGTGTTGTTTTTTTTTGCTAGTGAAAATGTTTAGGACTAAAGTCATTTTTTAATTTTGTATCCACTTCTGATTATAAATTTTGAACAGAGAGTTATTTATCACGACTTTCAAATGTTACTGGGAGAAGTTAGAGGAACAACTTTTCAACTAGATAAATGACAATTACCTTCTCTAAGGGTCATATATGACAATGCTAATTTCAAAGTAGTTAATCATACCTTCGATCCGTTTAATTTACTTTGTCATATTTATTCTTTGTATATCCTTTTAAAAAATATTAGTTCTTAAAAAATAATATTGGGAATAACAAATTAATACATAGAATAAAATATTATTCTTTTTATATACTAAAAGTGACAAATAACAATAAAAATATAATTTTAGTAAGTGAACCAATTAAAGTACATGTAAAAATATTTTGGATCAATTATATTTTTAATCTGTATGATAACTAAAATGAATGGAGGGAATAATATATATATATATAAAAAAAAATAGAAGTGTTTAGGGCAATTGTATAGGGGGGGGATTCCACATTTACACACCTCTAAAATAGGAGAGGAGAGAATCCTATTCCTACAATTGGGAGCAACCTTTCCACTAGGAATAAAGTATTTATATATATAACATGCATCTAGTCCTTTTCTCTTAATTAATTAATGCAAATCCAGCTAGGATTTTTTTGTTTTCTTGTCTCTTTATGTTTCTCATTTCTCAAATTAATAAAAAAGACCTAGCACTAACTCGACAAAAAAGTCTTTTAGATTCCTCCAAAACAGAAAGCAAATAAAAATGAGAAGTATCTCTTGGAATTTGGAAAAGGAAATCACAACAATGCTATTCAATGAACTTATTGATCTTATTATTACAAAGTACTTTGACTTATACAATGCAAGAAGTCAAAATTCAAAAGCACATAAACATGTACGACTATGGTACGTAAATAAATATATATTACATGCATCCAATATATAAATATTTCAAGAACTTCACGAAATATACAACTACGTGAAGTCAATGGCACAAAACACAAAACAAAATAAGATAAATGTCCCTTTGTGGCTTTAATTACTACTTCTTTAAAACTCTTCAATTTATTCTGATCCCATGGAGGTGTTCCTTCTTATTCCTCTGGTCCTGCATTGATTGAATAATCTATGGATTAGATGAAAGAAAAAGATGGTTTTCATTAATCAAATATTATAGTCAATGTGCTTAGTAGGATATATAGAAAAATAATGCAAAAATTGTGACAAATATATTACCTTGTTCGACAGTGTGAAACTAGTAGTGGCTAGGAGGAGGTGGAGAAGTGTAATAGTAAGGGGCTGGAGACTTGTGAACTGGGGGTGGGGGTGATTTGTATTTGTAAACGGGTGGTGGTGGTGACTTGTATTTGTAAACGGGTGGTGGTGGTGACTTGTACTTGTAAACTGGAGGAGGTGGTGGAGGAGATTTGTACTTGTAAACAGGTGGCGGTGGAGATTTGTACTTGTAGACTGGAGGTGGCGGAGACTTGTACTTGTAGACTGGAGGTGGTGGAGACTTGTACTTGTAGACAGGTGGCGGTGGAGATTTGTACTTGTAGACTGGAGGTGGTGGAGACTTGTATTTGTAAACGGGTGGTGGTGGAGACTTGTACTTATAGACTGGAGGTGGTGGAGACTTGTACTTGTAGACGGGTGGTGGTGGAGACTTGTACTTGTAGACGGGTGGTGGTGGAGACTTGTACTTGTAGACGGGTGGTGGTGGAGACTTGTACTTGTAGACGGGTGGTGGTGGAGACTTGTACTTGTAGAGTAGACGGGTGGTGGGGGAGACTTGTACTTGTAGACGGGTGGTGGGGGAGACTTGTACTTGTAGACGGGTGGTGGGGGAGACTTGTACTTGTAGACGGGTGGTGGGGGAGACTTGTACTTGTAGACGGGTGGTGGTGGAGACTTGTACTTGTAGACAGGCGGTGGTGGAGATTTGTACTTGTAACTGGAGTTGGTGGTGGTGGAGACTTGTACTTGTAGACTGGTGGTGGTGGAGATTTGTACTTATAAACCGGAGTTGGTGGTGGTGGAGACTTGTATTTATAGACAGGTGGTGGTGGAGATTTGTACTTGTAAACTGGAGGTGGTGGTGGAGGAGACTTATACTTATATACGGGTGGTGGTGGAGATTTGTACTTATAAACTGGAGGTGGTGGTGGAGGAGACTTGTACTTGTAGACAGGTGGTGGTGGAGATTTGTATTTGTAAACTGGAGGTGGTGGTGGAGGAGACTTGTACTTGTAGACAGGTGGTGGTGGAGATTTGTACTTGTAAACTGGAGGTGGTGGTGGAGGAGACTTGTACTTGTAGACAGGTGGTGGTGGAGATTTGTACTTGTAAACTGGAGGTGGTGGTGGAGGAGACTTGTACTTGTAGACAGGTGGTGGTGGGGATTTATAGACGGGAGGTGGTGGTGGTGGTGACTTGTACTTATAAACTGGTGGTGGCGGAGACTTATACTTATAAACTGGGGTTGGTGGGGGTGGAGATGTATAGTAGTAATTTGCTTTGCATTCTGAAGGGAAGCTAAGTGACACTAAAGCCACTAAAAGAGTGGTAAGAAGATAGGCTATTTTAGCCATGTTTGCTGTGCCAATGTACCCTTCCCCAAACGCTGCTTTTATAGCCTTCAACTCATCACTTATAATCACAAATATATTAATTAATTAATTATAATTTTGGTTATTTATTAAAATTATTAGTAGATTGAGCTGTCACTCTATTATTAACTAAAATAAAATAAATGAAACTGGACCTGGCCTTAGGAGAATATTCTATTAGCTGTTGAGGCAAAAAATTAAAAACTTATTAATTTTTGTATTCACAATTAAACACTTATTAATTTGTGTCTTCACAAGTGTTCTTATATAACTTTGATAATTTGTGTGCATGCTTATATTTTCTCATTTTATTTATTTATTTCAAATAATGAAAAATGACTTCAATTTCTTGTTATCCAATCAACTTCATTTTCATTATTCAAACCCATTTTTACGTGCATGTTAATTTCGAATGTCATTTTCACGTAATAGTTATTTGGGATGGTGGGATTTAATGACGGAGTCAGTGTACAATATATGAATTCACGGAAATCTAATAACTTTTTATCTATATTCATATTCAGTGAACAACAACAATAACAACATAATAATAACATATTCAGTAAAATTCACTCAACAAAGTCTGGAAGGATATATAGAGTACATGTACGCATCTTATCACTAACTCGCGAAGATAAAGAGGTTATTTCCAATATGTTTTTACTCAATGTATATATTAAAAAATTATTAAATATTTATAAATACTTAATTATAAATTCATATATCAACTTGAAATTATAGTAGAAATTCAGAAATAATAATTGTAGACAAGATAATAATGGGACCATTCCAATATATGATATGAATCTAGCCGTGGTTTGAGGACTTTTTCCTTAGTTTCGTTAATCTTAGTCCACCAGAGAATAAATAAAATAATCAATATATCATTGTTCTAGAAGAAAAGTAGAAAGCATGTGAAACTTTAGTTATTACACATGTATACATTTTCTCACAAATAAAGTAAGTAAAGAGGATCATATCATTAATATACTTATATTATAAAATAAATACTACAAGTATACATTGTGGGGATCTATCACACAAATACGATAAAGGTTCATTAGTGAAATATTTCGAAAAAATATTTTCTCAAAAAAAATAAAATAAAATATTTAAAAATAAAGAAAATGATTTCCTTAATAGAAATAAGAAAAATCTTTTTTTACAAGTGATTGTAATTTTACCACATCCTTTGCCCATCCCCAAAACCCCCCACCCTCTACCCCATCTTCTATATTAATTATTTATCATAGATTATATACAAATATTTTTAAAATAATATTTTTTTATATACCTATCAAATAGCATAATATAAATAAAAAACTACTTATTTTAAAAAAAATATTTTTCATAAAAAATATTTTTATTCATATCGAATACACTGTAAATGTGGGTTCCGTTGTGCTTTCTTTTCTTTCCCCTTATGTAATGAACTTTCTTATTTTGTGAAAAGAAAAAAAGTTCATTTAATATATTTTGGAAATTTTTATGTGCTCAGATTTCAATTCTTTTGAAGAGTCTCACATCAATTCTTTAAAAGATGGGTAATTGTTTTTTGTTTGACCTGAATAGTTTTTATTTCTAGAGCTAATTTTGAGGGTTGAGTAAGCCCTAAAATAACTGATCTCAATTTTTATTTTAATATTGAAATCTCATATTAAATAATTGATCACCCACCAGATGATCAGTTATGTGAAGAGTTCTAAATTCACCCTTTAAGAAATGAACGGTCTCTTTAATATCGTTTAGACAATCTTTATATCTTAAGCCAATTTTTTAAAATTGAGTTAAGCTCGAGATTTATTTTCTTACTTTATGTGAAAATGCAAAATGAGTTAGATCTTATTTTCTTCGACGACATAAAATTTCAACATTATAAGTGGCAGACCTATTCCAACTTTCTTTTAATAAAATTATAACTATTTGATTATGTCCTTACAGTAAACCTTTGAAATTACGTTATACCTAATTAAGTTTGAAATTTAACATATGAATAAAATATTATATGGTCTTAACCATAGAAACGTAGTACAATTGATATACGGCATTAAATATTTTCAATCGAAGAGGATTTTCAGTCAAAATTATCCTACGTGGAGGTAGAAAAATACATTTAAAGCAATAACTAACTCTTTAAAGTCTCAATACTATTCGATTTAATTAGAATAGTCTTAACTATTGACGTTGATGTGATTGTCTTGAAATTTTCAAAAGTAAAAAAGTGAAAGTTTTAATGTTTTTTTCTCTTTCCGTGCGTGTCTGATATTCACATTAGATTTTAACAATTTTAGATTTGTACCGTATAGAATTCCTTTCGAAAAAGAAGCTATCCTATCAATATTTTTTTATAGGACTTAAATCTGAAATCTCTGATTAAAAAAACAATTTCATCTACGATTAGTGATAAAGTGAGAGCGTAAGTGTGTGGAAAATGAGAATTTGTTCCTCATAATCTAAAATGAAACTGCACAAAACAATGATAATTATTATTGCATAAAATTAAATATAATTCCATATATTTTTTTTATAATAAACATATGTTTTGAACCACAACTCTAAATTCACCGAACCAGTAAACTATATTATAACTCATTTCTTACCAACCATACACCTTTAAAGTTGGTGGATAAAAAGTACCATGGCGGCCTTTATATTGTACTTCTGTGACATAGGTTGAAACATATAATACTTCCTCCGTTCAAATTCACTTGTGAAATATTTTTCTAATTAATTTTATTTTTATTTGTTATTTTTGATAGATTAAAAAAAATGATAATTTTGTTTTCTACTTTTAATTTATTAACATTGAGTGAATTAATGTCTTTGAAAAATGTAATGAGTAAATATGTTTGGGACTCTATCAACTAACATAGGTAAAATAATAAATTCAACATATCAAAAATTATTTTCTTAATAAATATATCAAATTAAAATTTGATAAATAAATCTGAACGGAGGGAATATATAGGTAGAAGACATTGGGATTTTCATCCACTACTAAAGACTAGCTAAATCCATCACCAAATGCAATGTGTGAATTCATGCAATAATATTCAATCATCTTAATTGAGAGTTAGAAATTATATGTGGTGGCCTAGGAAAATTCAGTTACGTGCATTATATATATTAACCACACATAAAAGTTTCTATTGGTACGTGGGATAAAAATGATAGTTTTGAGATAAAATTTGATATGAACTTTATTTATTGTATTTTGTTTGAGGTATTGGTTAGTTAATTTCGGGACAAAATTTGGGTAACTTTATCTCATGTTTGTTTTGAGATTTTATCGAATTACGGAATTATTTCATCTCATCATTTATATTAAAATGGTGGAATTATATCTTATATAAAATGTGAGATAAAATAATCTCATGAGACCATACGTGACACTATTCATTAACACATCTTTGTCCAATAACCTATTTGACCAAACTTTCAAAATTAACTTATCATGAAAAATGTTTTAAAAGTAATAATTTTGGTAAAAACAATTTTTATTTGATCAATAAATTAAGAAAACTCTTTCGAAAAACAATTATGGTTTGATCAAACTTTCCAATTATTTTGATGTTATTGATGATGTACTATTACATTTTATAACTAATTGTAAATTGTTCTTACGACTTAAATTAAATATAAATATAAAGTTAATATTATTAGGCTCATAATCGATAACTAATTATATATACATGTAAAGTGATTCAAATTCAATCATCACAATTATAGATTCAAATAAAATAAAAATAAAAAGACATATACAACAAAGCAAAGGAATCCCGCGTTATATAGTCAAGTGGCTGAGCTATGCAATTGCAATGTGCCTTTTGGATATTTCTTTAAAGGAAGAAGTATGATTTTACAAGTGGTTAAATATCATTATCAAAGAATGCGGTACAATAACTAATACTATTTTTTTCTTAATCAGAGTTTCGAGTTCAAGGCCTGATTATAGAAAAATTCTTATAAAAAGTGATTTTCTCGCCAAATAAATCCCTACGTAACACGAATTTAAATTAATCAGACTCTAATAGACATATATATATGATATAAGATGGAAAAGCAAAGTCGTTAAATATGAGTCCGTAGCTTCTCTTTTGTTTTTTTTTTGTTTATAAAAATAAGAGTCCAAATCTCACCTACTTTATTATTTTTTTTGCATGTTATGCACGTCAATTTCTACGCGTTTACCTCCCACTTGGAAAGCAATTCCAAGATCCCCTAACTTTATTTAAAACCACTCGTCTTTTTTTGTTAATTATTACTTATTTTATTTTTGTTTTTAAAAAGTTAATTAGTTGCCTTTGATCCTAAATTAGTATTTTCTGATTTAAAATTAGAATATGATAGTATACAAATATAAAAACAAGAGTTGACATGGAAATTACTTAGTTTAATTATTCTATATTTAATCATACTAGCTCAACTAATCTGAATCGACATAGGTAAGCAGGGGTGAACACACCTTACGATAAGGGGTGTCATCTGATACTATTTTATCAGTAAATTTTAATCAATATATCTACTTATTTATCATACAAAATAAATAATTTGTATATATATTATACGATAATACACCTAACATAAATTTCCAGATGGTTCGCTGGTGAAGTGCTTCAATAGAGTGTAGGTAGCAGCCACCTAGAGTTCAAACCTAGTTGGCAGTGTTTTGTGTATTTTTTTTAAAAAAATTGTAAGTTATTAGTAATTGCTAAAAAGAAGTAGCTTTTGTCTAAACGCAATTTTTTGAAAAATATCGTCTTTGAGAAAAAAATACATTATTTGTTTGGCCAAACATTAATTGCTTCTCAAAAATGTTCTCTAAATTTATTGGTCAAACACAAATACTTCTCGCCAAAATAATTTTTTTAAAAAAGCAATATTAAAAAAAAAACTTTTTAAAATAAGTTTGATTTTAAAAATTTGGCCAAACATATAAATTGAAAAACGATACGTCCTCTTACGTATGACATGCTTAATACCTTTTTATAGTATGATTTTTTGGTGACTTAGAACTCAAAATCTCCGTCTTCTCTAATTATTATATATATTAATTAAATGGTGGCTAAATAAGTCCTACAATAGAGTAGTGCTATCCAGCGTAATTTTGTCGACATTATACTATTTCCCTAAACTTTTTGTGAAGTCATAATTGTCATTTTCTTGAATTAGAAGTTAATAGATATTCTACTGTTATAATATCCTTTTCACCTATATAATATTCTGCAAAGTCACTTTCATAAACACTTGAGGAAAAATAACTTTTTTCTGTTACCATAATGGAAAATTATGTAGATAATAGTAACTTATTAAGTACTATATATTATTTACTTTATCATGCATTATTGAGATCAGATTCTTGCCCATAATGGTATTTGATCCACTCAACTTAATTTTTAGGTTGAATTCATTAATGGCTACCTAAATTGTTGATATTAATTTCATTTAGATATCTTAATTAAGATTTGTTGATTTTAAACATCTTAGGTAAGGACTTATATGTCACAATTCGGATTCAGTGTATTATTTTGATACTTTTTACTGACATGACATAATGAGTCTGATTCACTTGTTGACTGTGTGTGAAAAACTGATTTAGCTAATTTTTATTTATTTCTTCTTATTCTTTTCCATTTTTAGCCACTATTTCCTTCAACTCCATCCATGATGAATGAAGATTGTTACAACAAAATGATAAAAAACGATTAAAAAAAAAAACGTTTTAGAAATTTAGAAATAGAATAATATCAAGATTTTAAATATTGAAAAAAATTGTTAATTTTAATTTTAGATAAAATGTGGTTTCGTAGAATAGAGGGAAGGAGAGAGAAAGAGAGTGACTGCAGTTAAGGTCTAGGGTGTGCATTTGATTTTTAAAGTACTATTCAATTTGAATTTTTCGATTATTGATATTGAAAAAGTGTTGTAACCCAATTCAAATCAAAATAAATTTGATTTGATTTAATTTTCCTCTTTCTGATTTGACTTATTTCAGTTGTGTCAATAATTAATAACATAATTAAAGTTATAACTTTTTTGCTCCTTTCAAATATATTTCAGTAGCCTAATGCATAAATTTAGACAAAGATTTACAACAAATAGGATATCCAGTCTGGTAGAGTGAGATACATTATCAAGTATCCAATTAAACTTTTGAAATTTTCTTAAAAATTAATCACTTTTTCAAAAAAAATAAAATAAAAATAAAAATAAAATAAAATATATATATATATATATATATATTAGGGGTAAGATAGGGAGGAAATTTCAATTTTATCAACTTCATCCTTCTTACTAATTTCTCCTTTATATTCATTGATGTGCTTGTAGCATTTTGATTTTCCATATGGAAATTCACAAGTATCTTAATTGAATATTTCTTTTGACAAATAAAAATTTCATCAAAAGACTTTAAGTCTATTATTTCAAAGACTTGCATTATTAGTCATACTATAAAATAGTAATTTGTAGTAAATTTTTGTTTCTAGTTTTTAGATATTTAAAATTATTTCGAAGATATTAAAATTAATTACTAAATTCACTCAATTGGTCCTCTTTTTGGGGTGCCAAAGAGGACCAACTTTATTAATATCGTGGGCGTACTCTAAACTAGTATTTGTTAATCCACTCAATTACAATTTGTTCGATTTTGATTTTAGATAGTAAAGATGAATTTTAAATTTTATAGTGTTAAATAAAAATAAGAGTAGCTAAAATATAAATTAAAATATTTTAAATTTTACAATTTTAAAAGAGAAGTTAGAATTAAAGCTAGCATTGTAAGAAAAAAAGTAACAATCTGGACTCTAGTTACTTACTCCCTAATCCGTATATGTTTCAATTAATAATGTAACACAATCGAAATTTTGAGAGTCATTTGAAAAATATTTATTGAATATTTAATATATATTTTTAAATTTAAGATTTTTATGTCTGAATTTACTATTAAAAATTAAAAATATAAATCATAAATTTTCAACGTGCCATCTAAATTGAACAAAGGATTACCAAACGTTTTGATTATATATAAATACTAATCATATTTAATTTCAGCAATCATTTTTGCAAAGTTGTATGACAGCAAGCAGTTTTTTTTTTCTTTTTTTTAAAAATAAATTAAAAGATATATACGACAGCATGCAGTTACCCTCTCCTTTTCACCATTAATTTTTTGCCACTTTACTATTGACATTTTTGATAATATTATTTTCTTAATCTATTGGTCAGTCTAGCATACGTTGACGTCTAGGGAGTAACTTTTTTTTATTATTAATATAAATAATACGCCCACCTTTTTTTTTGTTTTTGTTTCACACCTAGTGTTCTGTATCTGTTTTGTAATTCAATTATTTTGAATTTATGCCGCATAGGACCTTATTCGGAAGAAGCGCTTCCTACACCCAATGATCCATTCGTATATTTTACTTGTCCTGTTTATTTGACATATTGTAACGATTTGTTTCCGTCGTTATAGAAAAGTCAACGGGGAAAATTTGGGGCCGAAAAACTTTTTCGTAGTATTTAGATTTTCCCAACCTTGTCCAGATTTGGACAAAATCTGAGTCATTGAGGTGTAGGGAAATCTGGTAACAATCGGGTGAATCATTTATGATTTTGATTACATGAGTAGTTAGATAACTCGTTAAGAAATCCATACGACTTTACGGAATTGAATTCGGGAGAGTTGAACTCCCGAAATCGATCTTAGTGTAAAGCGTATTTACTGAGCGTCGTGGGTTAGAGGTGTGTTGTGAAATGGAAATTTTGGAATTCTTTAAATAACTCACTGGTTCGAGAATGCCACTTTGGCGCTGGGTTTTGCCGCTCTGGCGGGGACGCTGTAGTGGGTTGGTGGCCGTTGTGGCGGTCCCGACGCGAATTAAAGTCGTTAATAAACCCCTAAACGACCTCATTATGCACAACTTTTAGAGCTAGGGAACGACCCCCAGGCGACTCATACTCGTTTTTCACCATTCTTGAGGCTAAAGGTAAATTTTTCACTCCCTGAATCTGTTTTTCGATCCGTCAAACGTAATAGAATGGGTGAATATTGATGGGGGAGAGTTTTGTTATAGAATCTATGGTGAAAACAACCTTAAATTGGATAATTGGGATCATGAGTTTGATCTAGGGTTCATAGAATTGTTAGTAATCCGAGTAATTAATGATTGCTTATTGATTCCCATATTATATTGATTGTTTCGAGGTAGGTGATGATTGTGATTCTATGATTGTGTGATGTATGCTTGTTCTTGCTTCATTATGATACTTGTATATGTATGAATGTTGCAATGTTGATCACACTTGTTGTAAAAGAGATAGATAATTAATGAATGCCATGATATAATATTATGAAATGACAAAAAATTAAAAATCCAAAATCAAAATAATATAATCCAATACAATATAAAACATAAGTAATAGAATCACATGTTACTGCCCTTCCCATGCAAAAATTGGGCGGCACCACCTTAAACTTACTCTCTAAATTATAAGCTCCAGTTTACATGGGCCTATTACTATTTCAATGATTCAAAATTATTCTTTTAAATCACAAATCTTCAAATATTTTTTATATCTCAATAAATTAATTATTGCGATTTATAGTGTTTAAATGCAACGGAGAAGGGTAAAACATATAGTAATAACTTATTTTATTCATCTCATAATCTCCGCATTTAGCAAGAAGATCGAACAAACATACACAAATACATAAAAGTAAAATATAAAAATAGAGTACAAAAACAATATCACTAACTTAGATAACATGAAGCTACAAAAGAACTTCGCCATCTGTGGGGATTATTGTTTACTATAATTTAATTTTCTTCTTTTATCATTGCCTATAGAAAATAGAAAATGCCTTCCTTTCAGCTCAACATTTGCTTTTCCTGCATAAGAATATAATATTGTGAATGAGAACATATAGTAGAAGATAACCAAATAAGAAGTAGACAACAGAAGTTTTTATATTGATGTTTTACATGAAGAAATTGTGCAACTTATTATTGCATTGCATTTTAGTCATATGATTTTGAAAGTTTAAGTTTATATTAATTACCTCATAGATAATGAAGTCACTTCTTAGTAATGGTGGGGAGGAGGGGGAGAGGAGTAAATATAGTGGGGTGGTGGAGACTTGTGTACTGGTGTAGGATGGTGTGGTGTTGGTGAAGGATGATATGGCTTCACTGGTGGTGGTGGGGAATTGTAAACGGGAGTTGGGGGTGGTGGAGACTTGTATACTGGTGCAGGATGGTATGGCTTCACTGGTGGTGGTGGTGACTTGTAAACTGGAGTCGGTGGTGGTGGAGACTTGTATACTGGTGCAGGATGGTATGGCTTCACTGGTGGTGGTGGTGACTTGTAAATAGGTGTTGGGGGTGGTGGTGACTTGTAAACTGGAGTAGGTGGTGGTGGAGACTTGTATACTGGTGCAGGATGGTATGGCTTCACTGGTGGTGGTGATTTGTAAATGGGAGTTGGGGGTGGTGGAGACTTGTATACTGGTGCAGGATGGTATGGCTTCACTGGTGGTGGTGGTGACTTGTAAACTGGAGTCGGTGGTGGTGGAGACTTGTATACTGGTGCAGGATGGTATGGCTTCACTGGTGGTGGTGACTTGTAAATAGGTGTTGGGGGTGGTGGTGACTTGTAAACTGGAGTAGGTGGTGGTGGAGACTTGTATACTGGTGCAGGATGGTATGGCTTCACTGATGGTGGTGACTTATAAACTGGTGCAGGATGGTATGGCTTCACCGGTGGTGGTGGTGACTTGTAAACTGGTGCGGGATGATAAGGTGTTGGTGAAGGGTGGTATGGCTTCTTTGGTGGTGGGGGAGATGAGTATTGATAATTTGCTGAGCTTTCGGAAGCTAAGCTAAGTGACACTAAAACCACTAAAAGAGTAGCAACTAGAGAGGCCATTTTCCCCATATTTGAAACAAAGAAGAGAAGTTGTTGTGATCTTAAGCTTCACTCAAACCCCTTTATATAGCTTTCATTTCGACAATTACCCTTACCAAGATTTACATAAATGTAGGTAAAATGTTAAGAGTTTTTATGCATTTTGATAATTGGTTTTGTCATGTTGTTGGATCAATTTGACTTTATTTTATTGGATAGAGGCTGCAAGATAAGAAAAAATGTATAAACAATTAAGACAAACATACTATTTTCTTTACATCTTGTGATGCAATAATTCAAAGAGCTACAAAGTCTTCTTTTTCTTCCGAGCTTTTACATTACATGCATACACAATCTTTGAAAAAAATGCGTGCATCCCTCAACTTCGCACGATTTTTAGCTACAGAAATCAGTGTACACTGCTTTTGTTTTTCTTTTTTTTTTGTTACACTAAATATTTGAAGAATTTTATTACTCCCCGTCCTATATTAGTCGATCATTTTTATTAACTAGATAATTTTATTAATTTACCTCTAGGAAACTTCTTGGAAATTTTACAAATAAATGTGAACACTTTCAAAAGGAATTAATTGCAAGGATAATATAGGAAAAAAAATAATTATTGCTTTCTTGATTTAGTAAGGTGGACAACTAATGTGTGACAACTATTTTTAGTAAGATGATCAACTAATATGAAACGAAAGGAGTAATTATTTTGTGGATTCTGACTGATGAACTAACCTTTAATTACCTAAGTGCTTAAATAGTTTAGAAATTTAGAGAAATTTAATACGCCCTCTATTTAAAAAAGAATAATCTCCTTTCCTTTTTAGTCCGTGTAAAAAAGAATGACCTATTTCCTTTTTTGGTAACATTTTAATTTCAGCTTTCCATGTGGCATGTTTAAAGCCATAAGATTGAAGGACAATTTAGTACATTTGACATGACTTTAATTTAGGACCACAAGATTAAAAAATCTTCTTTATTTTCTAAAACTCTATACCAAGTCACACTTTTTGAAATGGAGGGAGTACAATAATACATATATATCATATGAAGACAAATGATAGATTATTGTAATGTTAAAGAGTTTAATGATCTAGAAAAAAAATGTGTCCCACTTTCATTACCAAATAAAGCAATTAATGTTGTTTTTTCTTTTTAGTTTTAGGTGGGAATAGAGGGCAAAAAATTCAACGGATTATGTAGCTCAATATTGAAAAATTTATATGATTAAATACAATATCTATGAATTTTTTTGTATCTTAGTTAATCAGCATTGGAACACAAAGAGGTAGAATACAGGTCATGATAGAAATAAAAAATTACTCATCTCTAATTACTTGTCTACTTTTGAATTGACACACTTATTAAGAAAACAATTAATGACATAGTGAGTTTACCATTTTACCCTTATCAATTATGAAGTGGATGAAAAATTCTACATTTTTCAAAGTAATTAATCATTTAATTGAGGGTTTAATAGGTAAAAAAAAATTGTTCTATCTTAATTTGTCAAAATGGATAAGTAATTAGGAATAACTATAAAAGGAAAAGTGGACAAGTAATTAGGGACTGAGGGAGTACTTTATTTTATACTTTATCGAGAGTTTTTGGAAAGGTTTTGACTTGGGTACTTCAATGTACTCAAAACCTAATTGAATTTTGTGAAACTTTAAAGGTACATTATGTTACTTCGTATCATTGAAGTTAATATTTTGGTAGTATAATTAATTAAATTACATGATTTTATTTAATTACTTAATCTATAATTATAGTTTAAGACTCCATTGCATAGTTTATCCATTGTTGAGCACGACTAATTCAAATACGTGTTAGATAGGCTCATTCTAATAACAGTTATGTTAGTTTTAAATGTCGGAATACATAGTTATTTTTGTAGTTCTCTTTAAAATTTGAAAATACGGAGTATCTTAAGAAATAGAATTAAATGAATCGAATTGGTTCAAGGCTTTTTACAAAGTTTTCACTTTGTGTTTTTAAACTTTGAAGAAATAATTAACATTATTGATTTGCACCGATTTTTTACATTACCTTCTTTCATTTTCTCAAATTATTATATTCACTAGAAAACATATCCGCGCTTTGCGTGGTATATTAATCAATTAAGTAAAGTTTTTTTAAAATACAAATTTTGTTAAACAAATATGATGAAACTCTTCATGTTTATACATACAAAAAACAATTATAAATATTCATGAAATATAGATGAACGGTATTCTTTTTATTATTATATCTTCTTTAAAAAACGAAAAAATATATAAAAAGATTTCATTTTTAAATACAAATTTATGTATGTGATTCTAATAGTAGTAGGTTTGTTTCTTTTATTAGATAGTACAAAATATTTGTTTTCCGGAAATTTCTTTCACTAAAAATAAAACAATAAACTTCATTAGGAATCAAATAACTAATCCAAACTCATTGAGTTAATCCCTCTTGGCTTGTACTTGGGAACACCAGTGGCGAGCCTGATAGACTTTAAATCTCTTATTTTTTCTTCTCAAATCAAATAACTAATCCAAACTCATTGAGATTATCCTTCTTGGCTTGTACTTGGGAACACCAGTGGCGAGCCCGATCGACTTTAAATCTCTTATTTTTTCTTCGCATATGTTTCTCACGAGGTGAGGACGTAGTCATCCTTCAATCTTTGTTCCTTTGCTTAAAAAAAGGAGCCAAAAAAAGGAGCCAAAATATCCTCTTTTCGATCATGTTCGTTCGACACATTTTTTGTACACATAAAATTTATAATAAACTCAAAATACTAAAAAAATAAGGTAACAATACAATTATGCATAAGATATAAAGTAATAATGTAATATAAATATATACTTTCGGCTGAATATCACTCCATAATTCTAACATCTATAGTTAGAGGTATTTTTTTTAAAAAAGAAGAGAAATCACAGAGAACAGGAAAATTATTAATGGAATAAAGAATGATTATGTACTTCAAGCCTTAAGGAATTGCAATTATTAAAAAAAATGAAGTGTTGTAATTAGTGCTAACGTTTTTTTTTAATTATAATATAGTGCTAGCGTCTTTTTTAAAAATTAAAACGTAGTGCTAACGTTTGTGTTACTGCTAATTTAGTTTTAAATTTTAAATATATAGTTAAATCCAATTATTTTGTAATATAATACCAACAATTTCTGTTAAAACGTTTTTATAAAAAATTACTCTCTTTCTTTATTAGTAGCATTTATTGCATTTATTTAAAATAATTTTTCCTTCCAAATGTAACGGCTAAGTAAAATTACTCCCTTTCCTTATTAATAACATGGTAAAATTACTCCCTTTCCTTATTAATATATAACACGTAATTTCTTCAATTAAATATTGTTAAATAGTATTGGAATTATTCATTAACTGCAATAAATGCTAATAATAAAGAAAGAGAGTAATTTTTTATAAAAACTTTTTAACATAAATTGAAGAAAAAAAATCAAAATTCTGAGAAAATAGAGAAATAGTAATACTGGCCAATGAGTTATGCCACATCAGCGGACTTATTATCCAGCTTTATATATATATATAGATATAGATTTACTTCCTCTTTTATATTTATTTTTTAATCTTTTCTCTACCTAACAACCTAAATACGTGCCTCTTTTTCCATTAGTTAAATGTTTATAATAAAAGAAGAAGAGAAGAAGATACATACTACTTCTTCCATTCCATTTCATTTGTTTTGTTGCATTTTTTGAAAGTTAATTTGATTAATTTTTAAAATTAAATTATATTATATTAATTTAATATTTTGGTACATCAGGGTCCTTAGCGTCCAAATTTTAGAGCGAATATACCCTTTATACTAACAGTGACACACGTGTCTTAATCCTATCCATTGATTCAAAATTTATTAAATATCTACCAAAAATTAAAAAAGCCACCCGAATTAATTTTTAAAAAACCCACCCAAATACATAATACCCACACCCAAAAACAAAACCCAAAACCCCCAAATCAATTCGCTCCCAAAATCTTAGTTTCTTCTCTATCTTCTTCGATCTTCTCTAATCTTTAGCGTAACAGAGAATTAATTCATCTAAAATGGAAATCTTTCAGTAGAAAATAGCAAAACAATACTTTTACTTGGAAAGAAGAAATATCATAGACAAGTAAATTACTTCATCCATAGTTCCAACTGTATATTGTTTTGAAATAAAAAAATCAGGTTCTCACTTGACAATTGAGCTTCTCTTTTCCTCAAAACTCCAGTCACGACTGAAGCGCAAACGAGCTTTGATTTTGGGGTGCTTTCATCATTTTTCATCTATATGAGATTATAATTCCATAAAGACATAAGTTGTATGCAAATAGGTTCCTACTTAACATATCCAAGATAGAACTTATTTTTAAATAAGATACAAAATACATCAAGTTAATTTGATTCTTTGCTGGACCGACGAACATCAGAGAAGAGGAGGAGAAACTAGGTTTGGGGATTTTGAGTTCTTTTTTTGGGTGGGTATTACGTATTTGGGTGGGTTTTAAAAATTAATTTGGGTGGGGCTTTTAAATTTTGACAAAAAAATATAGGATTAAGACACGTATATTACCGTTAGTATAAAGGGTATATACACTCTAAAAGTTGGACGGTAAGGGCACTGATGTACTAAAAGTATAATGAAGGGTATATGCATACCATTTGCGATAGTTCGGGGATATATTTGTCCTTTTTCCCCAAAAAATTAAATCGTAAAATGTTAGTCACAATTCTTATTGTTTGATTTTTAAAAAGGAAACAATGACTGTATGACAACTAAAAAGGGACGGAGAAAGTATTCAAATACATGGACGATTCCTGGTTCATCCATTAATGACTTTGACTTTTTAATTAGAAAAATAATTAATCATTTGTATAACTTATTCACCGACAAAAGTAAAATTACTAAACTACATATAAGATTCCATTAGTTAAGCTAAACTAATATTTTAATCGTCCCAAGAGATAGTATAAACAAGTACAAACCCTAGCTACATTGACCTAGTCAATAGTTATCGCCGACATATTTATTATAGACAAAATATTTGTCCAACGATCGAGATCTTATGTACTATTTTGTTTTTTCTTTTTTTTTTTGTTCAAAAAAAAAATTGTTTATAATAAAGTTGGAAATTTTATGATTTAAATGAAGTTTAATTAAATTTAGGTTAGTCCGTTAAGCTTACAAGTCTAGCCCAGCCCAACTCATGTTTCTTAAGTCCAAAGTCGGCTAGAATGGCAAGGAGAAAAAAGTATTCAATAGTAATTTGACAGTCTTCTGCATACAAAAGAGTATTTCCCTTCAAGTGCTGAGTCATTTTATACCTCCTCGAATGTGATCAAAACTTGATTCTACATTCGTGGTAAACTTCCAACAAGTATTCCATCAATTCAGGTATAAAATAAAACTTTTGAGTTGATAGTCATGGAGAGAAAAAAAAAACAAAAATTACACATTTTAGTATAAAATTTTCTAAAGATTGTTAAATCCTGCACAAATAAATAAGATTAAATATTATTATTTATTGATATTTTTCTTTTCTTGATTATTATTTGTCAAAAACCAAAATTTAATCGTTATAATATGCCTTGAACAACCACAATCAGATACCAAATCAGTTGGTTGTTCATTCTTTTTTTTTTTTTTATAAAAAAAGTGAAAGGTCTAACAATTAAATTTTCATCCCTGAAAACTAATAATCAAGATAAGAGAAATACGACAAGTAATAATATTTAATTTCAATAATTTGTGTGGGTGCATTTACTTTTTCCTTTATAAAATTTTATATAAAAAAATGTAGTTCTGTAATTTTTATCCTCACGATGGTCAATTCAAGAACTAATTGAAGCTACAAATATTCCCGATAAATTGTTACTTAGATTGGAGCTACTAATATTTTCGATTTATTGTAACTTAGATTTTATTGTATCTTATCATTAAATTTATTGACGAATAAAACCCACATTTTTTATAGCAACTGATTTGATGTAATTGATGAGAGCCTCATCAACTTATAAAAAACTCAATATAAGGATGACAAAATAAGAAAAAGGACCAAAAGAAAGAGTAGAGAGAGGGGAAAACATAAAACCGTATAGTAATAACTTATTTTATACATCTCATAGTCTCCGCATTTTGCAAGGAGATCGAACAAACACACACAAATAAATAGAAGTAAAATATAAAAATAATACAGGGTACAAACAATAACTTATACAAAATGAAGCTACAAAAGTACTTTGCCTCCTGTGTGGGCTTATTTTCTTGTAGCTCAACATTCTGCTTTCCTGCATAAGAATATGATACTGTGAATGAGAACATATAATAGAACCTAAACCAAATAAGATGTACACAGCATAGGTCTATATTAATGATTTGTACGAAGAAATTGTGCAACTTCTATAGACATATCATAATTAAAAGTTTTAGTTTGGTTTTATTACCTCAGATATAATGAAATCTCTTCTTAGTAATGGTAGGGAGGAGGGGGAGAGGTGTAAAGATAATGGGGTGGTGGTGGAGACTTGTAGACTGGAGTTGGTGGTGGTGGAGAGTTGTAAACGGGAGTTGGTGGAGGTGGCGACTTGTAGGTTGGGGTATGTGGAGGGTAATATGGCTCCTTGGGTGGTGGTGGCGACTTGTAGGTCGGGGTGTGTGGAGGGTAGTCTAGCTCCTTGGGTGGTGGTGGCGACTTGTAGATTGGAGTTGGTGGAGGTGCTGACTTGTAGGTTGGGGTATGTGGAGGATAGTATGGCTCCTTGGGTGGTGGTGGTGCCTTGTAAACGGGAGTTGGTGGAGGTGGCGACTTGTAGACTGGAGTGTGTGGAAGATAGTATGGCGCATTTGGTGGTGGTGGCGACTTGTAAATAGGAGTTGGTGGAGGTGGTGACTTGTACACTGGGGTGTGTGGAGGGTAGTATGGCTCTTTGGGTGGTGGTGGTGACTTATAGACTAAAGTTGGTGAAGGCGGTGAATTGTAAATGTGAGTTGGTGGAGGTGGTGACTGATAGATCGGGGTGTGTGGAGGGTAGTATGGCTCCTTAGGTGGTGGCGGCGACTTGTAAACAATAGTTGGTGGTGGCGGCGACTTGTAAACAGGAGTTGGTGGTGGTGGCGACTTGTAAACAGGAGTTGGTGGAGGTGGAGACTTATAAACTGGAGTCGGTAGAGGTGGCGAGTTGTAAACTGAAGTGTGTAGGGGGTAGTATGGCTCATTTGGTGGTGGCGGCGACTTGTAAATGGGAGTTGGTGGAGGTGGAGACTTGTAGGTTGGGGTGTGTGGAGGGTAGTATGGCTCCTTCGGTGATGGTGGTGACTTGTAAATTGGTGTCGGGGGTGGTGGCGACTTGTACACTGGAGTGTGGGGAGGGTAGTAAGTTTCCCTTGGTGGTGGTGGAGAATTGTAAACCGAAGTTGGCGGCGGTGGAGACTTGTAAACAGGAGTTGGTGGAGATGGTGACTTGTAGGTTGGGGTGTGTGGAGGGTAGTATGGCTCATTGGGTGGTGGTGGCGACTTGTAAATTGGCGTCGGAGGTGGTGGCGACTTATACACTGGAGTGTGTGGAGGGTAGTGTGGCTCTGTCGGTGGTGGTAGAGAATTGTAAACCGGAATGGGCGGCGGTGGAGACTTGTAAACAAGAGTTGGTGGAGGTGGCAACTTGTAAGTTGGGGTGTGTGGAGGGTAGTATGGTTCCTTGGGTGGTGGCGGCGACTTGTACACTGGAATGTGTGGAGGGTAGTATGTCTCCTTCGATGGTGGTGGAGAATTGTAAACTGGAGTTGGCGGCGGTGGAGACTTGTAAACTGGTGCAGGATGATAAGGTGTTGGTGAAGGGTGGTATGACTCATTTGGTGGTGGGGGAGATGAGTATTGATAATTAGCTGAGCTTTCGGAAGGTAAGCTAAGTGACACTAAAACAACTAAAAGAGTAGCAACTAGAGAGCCCATTTTCCCAATATTTGAAACAAAGGAGAGATGTTGTTGTCCTCTTAAGCTTCGATCAAACCCCTTTATATAGCTTTCTTTTAGACAATTACCCTTACCAAAATTTATACAAATGTAGGTAATATGGTAGAGTTATGCATTTTGATTTGGTCTTGTCATGTTGTTGGCTCAATTTTGACTTTAGTTTGTATTTTAATTTGATGGATAGAGGCATCAAGCTAAGCAAATGTATAAACTATTAAGGGAACTATACTGTTTGTGACAAAATGATTCAAAGAGCTACAAAGTCTTCTTTTCTTACAAAATCTTTGAAAAAAATTCGTGGATGCCTCAACTTTGCACTTAACTAACCTTCACACAAGTGCTTAAATGGTATTGAAGAATATATAAATTTAAAACAATATCACATATTATTTAATAGAAATGATTTGTCACAGACATCCTTTTGTAGCAAATTTATTGTTTAAAAAATATGGATAAGAAGAATAGAATCCTAGACCTCTTTTAACTAAAATCTTGAATAAATCAACTATTAATCTTGTGTAAAAGTTTTGCTAACTGTAAATTATTAAGTATAGTTTTCCTCTATGAATAGGATGCTACATATGTTACCTACCTTCAAGTTCTGAATTCACCTCTGACCCCTCACTTATATATGTTATAAGAATAGATTATTTATTAAATAATATTTGATGTTAAGTTTGGTTAGGATTTGCTGTTGAATTGTTTAGAATTCACTCAACAAGTTAATTAGTGAATAATAATTTGATAGTTCAAGGGAAAAGATAACCATCAGTACTATTAATCTCAAACATTTTAGCATGGCTCATTTGTGAAAATATATTTGACTTGTAATAAGTGTGACGGTCGAATCAATTGAACACACCACATGTGTAACATCTCGCAATTTGAAATAACTAGGAAGAAGCTTATAATTGGAAATAGTCATTTTTGGAAAGAATTAAAATCTGGAAATTTGCTTAAGTTAGGAAAAGTTGAGTTTTGGTCAACTTCAAACGGTAATAATTCCTAGCTCAGGATGAGTTAGGTGTACTTCCAGATATGGTTGCAAAGCTCTTGGAAGGATCTTTTCAACGCCGCTGAGTTTACGCAAATCCGAGTTTGTATGAGTGAGTTATCCCCTTTGGAAGTTGGGCTGTTGGAATAAGGAAAGTCCAATCCGGATTTTTAAAGGGTAGTTTGGTCTTTTACTTAATATTTTATTTAATTAGTTTTTGGGTAATTAATTAGAGGTCTAAGCTGAATTAGATCAGTTTATACTTTTACCAAAAGAGTTAGGGGTCGTTTGGTTTGAATATGAGTTATGATGGGATAAGTAATGTTGGTATAAGTCATGTTGGGATTAGTTATGATGGAATAAGTTGTCCTGGGATTATTTCTTATTGAAGTGTTTGGTTTGTTATATTCAAAATAATATATATTGATAAATTTTAAGAACAAGTTGTTTGTTTACAAAATTACCCTTCACTTTATTTAAACTTTTTAAATTTTTCTTTGTGAGCTTTAGTTATTCATTTTTTAAAATAAAACTTTTATTTTATTTAACTTAAATATTTTTGTTTATGTATTCCCATGATAAGTACGATGTGTATTTAAAAATATAACTTTTTTCTTATTTAGCTTAAAAATAGAACTTCCCTCTTAAGTTTATTAAAGAGAAGAAAATTTAGGAGAAATCAAAATAAAATAAACATAAGAATTAGTCAAATAAATTCATAAATAAAAATTATATTTATATAGTATAATATTTTAGTAGAAAAATATGTATAATTATCATAAAAATAAGGAGTAGTAAATATTATTATACATGGTATTAAAAAAAATGTAAATATACATAAATGTGATAAATGATGTATAAAATGGATTTAAAGGGACATATTTGTCATTTACCTATTTTATCTTGGGATAAGTTATCCCGGGATTACTATACCACCCATGGGGAGGGATAACTTATCCCGGTACTAATTATTAATCCCGGGATAAGTTATCCCGGACTTGCCAACCAAACAACATAATTTTTTTTTATCCCATCACTATTATTTCTAATCCCTCACACCAAACGAGCCCTTAGGGTTTGGAGAGAAAAGAAAAAGAAGAGGAGAAAGGAGAAGAGGAAGCAAGAACGTTCAAGATTTGTCGATTTCTTGGAGCTTTGCTTGTGGATTTCATCGGGGGGGGGGGGGATCCCTACAAGGTTTGTGAGATCACATAGCGTTGGGTTAGTTTACCCACGCGCCAAGCATGTTTAATTTAACGTATTTTCTTCCTAAAAAGATTGAGAATTTGATGTTTGTGATAGTTTTTCTTGAATTGATTTCATTCTTGAACATGAGTTGGGATTAATGAGTTTGTTGATGATTAAGTGTTGTTTCTTTAAGTTGTTCGGTTAGATTTTGTGTATATAATTTGGGTACATGAATCTAAAGTGAATTTGAGAAAAAGAATCGAATTAAAATGATTTAGGATCAGTAGCTCCTCAGAATTTTGCCTGAAGGGGGGCTGACGCGACGCGTCCCTATAGCGCCAGGCAGGCTGGGGCGGCGCGCCAGCAGTGCACCAGATTTGAGCCCCAGTAAGTTGGGGCTGGCGCGGCCCTCCCGGGATGCGCCCAAGTCATCGTTTTTCACCCGTTTTCATCGTTTAGCCTATTTAAGTCCTTCTAAAGTGTATTAACACTTTCTATTGATTCTAACTACTCTAAATGACTTCTAAACATCGAGAAATCATCCAAAAACATGAATCATAACCTTGAATCCATAAATTCAAATTCAAGGAAAGTTAAGAGCCAAGTTTAGGAGGTTCTTCGAGTCTTTTCAAGAAGTCTTTTGCAAATGCTTTTAACTTTGTTTTAAGACTTACAGTCAAGTTGAGGAAAGAGTAAAGATTGAAGTTCATTTCTTCAAAAGTATATGGGGACTAAGAATTCCCAAAGAGATTTAAAATGTTTTCACATTTAAATAAGAACGGAAACTGAGATTTTCAAAGAGCCTTCGGGATAGTTTTACAGTAAAGAGGAAACTATGATTTCCAAGAGAGCTTTTAAGCTAAGTTTTGAGTAATTATCTCAAACCAAAGAAAGAGTTTTGTTATTACAATCATAAAATACTAATTATTTTGGGAGTAGTATTGAGCACCGATATAAAGATGCGAGTTCATATTAACTCAAGTCTCCATAAACCATGTAGCCATCATGGGAAGAAAAGAGTCATAATTTTTAGATGAATCCTTTTCGCATAGACTAGTGGATCCACTTAGTGAGTTAGCTTCCTATATCACGACAAGGTATAGGATGGGCCTCGACAGCGTGAGGTAAAACACTGTATCATCACTATAGTTCTTAAGTGATGGTTGTCGGTTAGAGAAACTCCCACAACAGTAGTAGCATGGTTCCTCAAGGGGTTCTGCTTAGTGTGAATGGGGGTATAGGACTTTATTCATGCATTGCACAAGTAGACTTTGAGAATGAGTATGGTTTGTCTTTTTATGATATTATGATTATGAATTGACAGCATGTTTTCAACATTTTTTCTTTATATTGCGCTTGTTTTAAACTGCTTTATAATGAAATGAGTTTATTTAAGTATTCAAGAGTTGAGAAGAGTCAAGGTAAGTGTTTCTTCATAATCTCTTTCGAGCCTACGTTGTTTTAGTATTCCAACTCGCATACTCATACATTCAATGTACTAATGCCAGTTGGCCTGCATCGTCTTATGATGCAGACACAGGTAACTAGGATCGGCATCCGGTGTATTCGTTGATCCAGTGAGCAGTTCAGAGTCTGTTGGTGAGCCTCTTTGCATTCCAGAAGACTTCTTCACATTGCTTTCAGTTTTAGTATTAGGTCATTAGGATGTCGCGGGCCTGTCCCGACATCTATCTTAGTTGTTTAGAGGCTTCATAGATAGTCAGACAGTCAGTTAGTGAATTCAGTTG